AATATTATAAAATATTGTAATTAACTAATTTTTCAAGATGTCTTTTTTGATCATTTTAAATGTTTATCAACTAGTTTTTACTAAAGATAATTTATTCATCAACCAGTTTACCAGCTACCAACTAGTTTGTTAGTCGTCAATTATCTTATCAACCAGTTTGTCAAACATAGCCGTAAACTATTAATCTATATATACATAAAATTGTAAAAGTTGAATAAAATATTAATATTTAATTATAGATGCATACTTTATTGACCTTCGAATATAGTATAAACAATGTATCCATTTATTACCCATTTTGGTTGCAAAATAATGATAAATAAAAGGGGAAGGGATAATAAGCAAATCTAAAATGGTTCGAATAGTGTAACCGTCAATTACTGACATTGGTAACCGACCCAAAAAAAAATTGCTCCTCACCCAAGGCTCCCTCTCTGGTCATGTTTATTCTCTCGCCAATACCCATATCAAGATTAGACCCATTTCGACCGAGTGGCAACTGCTGTTGCGATTAACATATATCGTACTACGAGGGCCTCTCTCCCTCCGCCACCTCCCCTTTGGTACAAGCGAGATGGAAAACCCAAAATGGCTGGGAGAGCAAAGGCTTCTTTTTAATATACTCCCGAAAACAGATCATGTGGAGAAGAAGTGATGCCTGTAGTTTAGAGGATTAGAACAAGTGATTATTAACCATGATGTCGAGTGACCGGGGAGAACAAGCCATTTGATAGGAAGATTATGAAATTATGAATATTCTTTATTTTTCATTACTTTGGTGTATATATATATATATATATATATATAGACTTGGGATCATATGAGACCAAGCCTTTTTCGTGAGACCCGTAATACCAATTCTCAACACTTGGATTATATCTACAATCTCAACATTCATAATTATAAAATTGTCACGAGATTTCTCAATAATTACAAAATTGCCACCGTGCAACTTTAGACTATTAGATCATTAGCTTATAAAGTTGATCAATGAACATAAATTGGTCTCACGGGTCTCATGAAAAACCTTTTGTCTCACGTGAACCCAACCCTATATATATATATTATATTTCAAATGCAACCATGTTCAGTTGTACAACCAATTCAACCCAATCAATTGGGATATTTATGGAAATGATGATAAGTCATGTATTATGATTTGGATATTTATGGAAGATGACTAAAGTTCATTAATTATGATCAATACTTTATATTAGTAAACAATAAAAACTTTTATGAAATCACATATTCCTGAAATTAAATGAATGGTTGAGATTGAGTTATATTGGTTGTACAAATGTAAAGAGTTGTATAATAACTCACCAGGAAAAGTCTAAAAAAACCCAATGGACTTTAGTATTTTGAATGATTAAGTCCTTGGACAATTTTTTGAAACAAATATATCATTGGACATTACAAAACATGTTAAATAACTTTTTGAATTTTCTAAAACCTGTTAGATATATCTTTATGACCTATACAACTGGTTAATGTGGTAAAATAATAAAAAAAAAGTCCGAAAAAAAGGCCCAATGAACATTCATTTTTTGAACGATTAAGTTTCTAAACATTTTTTGAACCAAAAAGTATTTAGATTTATTAAATTAAACAAATATAACAAAAAACACTTACATTTACAAAAAAAAAATACTTACATTTAAAAAAGATTTTTGATAAAATTTATTTTAATTAAAACTAAAATATATTCTATCAGTGATTTTTCAAACTAAAAAAATAAAA